GAAGGAAGGAAGGAAGGAAGGAAGGAAGGAAGGAAGGAAGGAAGGAATGTTAGTTTGAGGCTGTTTGTTCCTGGCTGTTTTTCTGGGTAAACTGACTGTAGAATTAAAAACTTTGCTTTGAGTGATGCATCACAGAACTAAGACATGGCTGTCAAACAACTGCTCAACTAAATGGCAGGCAGTGTGGTAATGTAAAAAGAGATGAGGCTTTGAAATCAGGGAAATCTATGCTGCAATCCCATGGAAACAAGACGGTAGTAAAACAGAGTTGGCTGCATGGAAGAAGAGTTTCTCAAGGAGAGTCACAGTTTCCAAAAACACCCTCTCCTTTTGCTTTCTACCACAAATCCATTTTTCAAAAACCCCGTCTATTGTTGCATCATGTAAAGACAGTCAAACAATATCACAAAATTTTCAGGATTTCTTTGCAATGGGTTTCTTTCCACTGTAAGCTTTATGGCACACATAGATTTCAGTGTAGGGGTTACAGAGGTTTCTAAGAAGTAGACAATTATTCTCCAAGTAGCTGAAACTGAAGTTCAAGGGAAGATCCTGTGATCTCTTGGTAGGAGAGATGGCACAGATATTGAAGATGCTATATATAGAAAATCATCACCAATAACATCAAAAAGCCCAAAGCATTCAAGCAGGAAAGCCATATCAAATGTCACAAGAGAGAATGTTCCAGGCTTGAGAGGTTAATTTGCAGTTGGACTTCTCACACAGGCAAGTTGATGGGGCACTTTCCTGGGGTATGTTTATCTGGACCAACACAGGGAAGGCTGCTGGTCTAAGTTAGATCACACGTGCAGAGGCCTTGCAATGTACATATGAGGGGGAGGTGGGGAACCATGGGATGGGTAAATCAAGTGAAGACAGGGCCAATGGCCACAGTAGGTCACTACCGAGCAGGGTAACCACTTGTCGAAGCCACCAGACTTGAGCAATAGTGGTGTATATGTGTCAGGACTAAAACTGCCTTTCAAGTCCTTGCCTAGGTCTTGTCAAAGCTGGAAGCTCTATCATTTCAGATCTGCAAGCAGTTTTCTGCTAAAAACTACCCCTTTGGAAACATAGTACCCTATTTTCTTGTCTGAGAAAAATTACCTGGATGGGTCCTTTGGTGGCGCACATAGAAAAAACCAGCATCGTCCAGGGTCCTTGGGGAAAACCTATAAGGAGCCATGAAACCGAATACACATTTTTAGAAGAAGTTTGGTAACTTAAAATGGAATGTTTGACTGAGCCATAGCTCTGTTTTGATTGCCAATATTTTGTGATGGAACAGAAGTGGCTTCCCCCCCCCCCCCCCCCACTGAGATTCCATTTGCCCTGTGCCTGTGAACCTGGGCTGGTCCTTGGTGGTATTAGTGTGTTTCTGTTATAATGTATAAGCAGAAGATGGCTGGTGAATACTCCTTTCATCTTGAAAAGGGATGGTGAAAAACAGAAAGTAGACCATCCTGGGTGAAGACCACCCTAAACCATTGTGTTGATAATCTATGGGCAGAGTTCCTAAACATTTAGTGGCTCAGCTTGGAGAACTGCCTGGATGTCACACAACTAAATTCTGATCACCTATTTAGCGTTATGTGTGTATGTGTGGGTGGTGGGCGTGGGCGATGGGGGAGGAGATGTGTTTTCTTGAAGACAATGGAATTCCCCATTGTCTATCATCCAGGATTGAGGTCAATACTAGGACAGAGATAGAAAGCGGTCTTAAACATGATGCAGGAAGCACAGTTTCTGCCCTCTGCATCCCATGGTGAGTAAGCATGGACTCTGGGACTAAGATATGCTTGAGATTATTGCCTAGAGAGAGAAGCTGCTCTCCCTGCATGGAGAAGTTTAGAACGCATACAGTGAGGCAGCTCTGTGAAGATCTCATGAGGAAGTAGAGGTCTAGGCCTAGGGTGGGGGTGTTCTAAACAGACCCACCATTAGTTGCAAAAATTGACAGATTCTTGTTTCCTTTCATTTACAGCCCCAGATACAGTCAAATATTCCTTAAAAAAAAAAAAAACCAACTCAACCAAGCAACATCAACAACAAAGTTCTAACTTTATGTAGAGGAGGCTTTGAAGGGAAGGGAGGGACGGGAGGGCAACTCCCCAAACCTGACCCCCGAGTTCAGCCTCGTGGGATGAGCACCCACCTGAGGAGGGTGAGCAGAGGTCTCAGCAGAGTGCAAGAGAAAGGAAGACAGGGCAGGAGCCACACAGATGCCAGAGAAGGTTTAGGGCACCGCCACTCTCGACACACTAAGGAAGAGAGAGAAACTGGCAAGCGTGGGGAGCTAGAGCAGCCGAGCAGGTGAGGTGTTGTCATTCACATTCAATCTCTAGCTCGGTGACCTCATCTGGACTTCTAAGTTGCTGCAGTTAATGCAATATACAAATTACAGCAACAACCATCGTGATGATGTAAAATAATGATATGATAACAGTAATACCATGATTGCTGTCTTTCAAACAAAAAACAAAAGACGTACTGCTCATAAAATCTTGAACAATTGTAAAATGCTTTTCTCACTCTTCCCCTCCTATCTTTCTGAGCTGACTGTTCCCTATAAATGAGTCATTTCAATAGGAATGTTAATGTATTTGACATGTGTCAACATCACCCTGAAAAAAAGAAGATGTTGGATTGTTTTACTGGCACACACAGTGCAAAGAGAACTGACAGTGTGTGTTTGTCTGGGCCTTACACTTATGAGGCATATACAAATCTAGCATCTCGTGGAATCCTTCTGTCAGCCCAGGAATCCACTCACCACCTACGTTCCCGCTGTCTCTCCTTCGAGTTAAAAATGTGCTCTTCATAGACTTAGTGTCCTTTCTTCAGAAACATTGATGGAGACTTTACTGTATGCACTAGGTATTGACAATATAAGAATAAAGTATCTACCACAACATGTGACGATAGTAATATAGAGACAACACACGCTAATGCACTAGAAAATGTATTTTGCTTGGCCGGGCGCGGTGGCTCACGCCTGTAATCCCAGCACTTTGGGAGGCCGAGACGGGTGGACCACGAGGTCAGGAGTTCAAGACCAGCCTGGCCAAGACAGTGAAATCATGTCTCTACGAAAAATACAAAAAGTAGCCAGGTGTGGTAGCAGGCTCCTATAATCTCAGCCACTCAGGGGGCTGAGGCAGAAGAATTGCTTGAACTCGGGAGGTGGAGGTTGCAGTGAGCCGAGATCACACCATTGCACTCCAGCCTGGGCCACAGAGTGAGACTCCATCTCAAAAAAAAAAAAAAAAAAAAGAAATACACATCGCTCTTAGGTAACTTTGCTTTTAGGTAACAAGTATAAAATTTACATATAATGGCATTGGTCACATATGTGTGCTGGGTGTATACTGACTATTTTTAGACCTATTTCTTGGGAATACTGAATCCTGCAGACTATATTTCCCCCATTCCTTTAGGAACGGGCTCCTGACTGGCCTTAGCCAATGGGAACCAATGGTTGGAGTGGGAAGGCGAGAGAAAGAGAGTAGCCAGGATATTTTTCCTTTTCTTGTTATGCTCTGATCAGCATCTCCAGCAAATGCTTGTCTCTCCTCCAGAATTCCAGCTCCACCCAGAAGGCCTCTGTCATCCATGCTGCTGCCACACAACTCCAGCTTTTGAGTTTTGACAAAGCCATATCCTTTTGTCTCTCCAGCCCTAGAAGAATCTAGTTGCTGCAAATCTGTGGGTTGCTTCCTCATACCCTTTAATGTCTTTGTACCTTATGACATGGTTTCCCATATTGAATGTTAGCCATTGAGCTCTTAGGCTTTGATTTTTCTTTCTAGCTGGAACATAACTGATCTAGAACATCTAGAACATTCCAAACAGCAATACACATGTAGGAGTGAAACATCAGTGTGCTGTTATCTAACTGGCTGGCGCCTTTTCAGTTTGTTTCCTGCTGGCCTGAAAAACATTCGGAAAATCGCATGGACCTAAAGGTATTGTTTCACTCAAGCTTTCTGGGTGTGAGTTTTCTAATAATATTGTTGGTATATGTATGAGTGATTCTTGATATAAACAACAACAAAAAAATAAACTGGGGGATATACAGTCTGAAGGTTGCAGGTAGCTGAGAAAAAGTTTTCCAGATGATTCTGAACTTTGGTAGGGAGAAGCTTGTTGAAACCAAAAAGAGATGGCAAATCTCAGCAGAGTAATTGGCTTCTCTCTCAGATCACCCCATGGGCTTTACCCAGCTGGGGTATTTTTTCTTCTTTCATAAAACAGGCTGTTTTGCTCCCAAGTCACATGGAAGCTTGGTTAAGATGCTTGGATTTCATGTTCCCTTGTTCACCAGACTTGTTATATTTGAGAGAGAATTTGGTCTTGTCCTTGAGGACTTGGCTAAAGAAGATACGAGGCCTGGCTTTTCTGGAACTTCCAGACAAGTTGCACAAAGGCAGTAATGACTCCCAGCTTGAAAGGATAGGAGGTTGCAGGTCTCAGTGTGATTGCGCTGGGTGACCAGGACACACACACACACGGTCTACTGTGCCCAAAGAAACAGTAAAGTGAAATCAATCAAGGCTCCATGGTGAAGACTTGAGTTTCTCAGGTGCTAGCAGGAGTGAGACAGACTCAAACTTGGCCAAGAAAATTAGCAATGGGCGTACCTCATAAAACATTTAAGTTCAGGCTCATCTCAATTAAGCCTCCCAGAGCCTCAGGTGTTTGTCCAAAGCTTACCTGGGCCTGAACTCCTGGAACCAAGCAAGTTTGCTGGGGCCTGCATGAACATGCCTCCCCATGAGAAACTTGGCAGTAAGAACCCCCTATCCTCATTCTCATACCCAGTCTAAAAAGAACCATGTGAAAACTATGAAAAGTAGGTTTCAAACATTTCTAAGCTATGAAATATCTGGATTTAATTTTAACCAGCTATATCCAAGTCTGGTGTAAAAACTCAAAAGTTCTCTCTCTGTCCCAGGTGAAGCTGTTACTTCTACAATATGGAATGATAATCTCTCCATTAGACAAACAATCAGTGATGGGCATTGCCTAAAATGTTGTCCTCTCTTTCCTGAACTCTGGGCTGAAAACTGGATTGGTGTAAGCTAGATTTGGGGGTCAGATCCGGTCAAATGAAGTTAGTTTCCTCTTACTTCCTACAGTCATTAAAAGCCTTTATCTAATATTTTTAATAACAATGATAATGACAATAATAATTGACATTAATGGAACCCTTACTCTATGCTGGGCATCATGCTAAGCATTTTACAAGTGATTATCTCGTTTTATCCTTACAGCTACACTATGGGTGGGTACTGTGATTATCTACCTACATGGTAGAGACAAGAGATACAGGTTCTGGGAGGCTACATTACTTGTCTGAATTCACTCAGTTATTAAATGGCAGGAATTAAACTTGGGTCTGTGGTTCCAGAGCTCATGCTTCTAAGCACTTTGCTGGGTGAGTCTCTGCTGAGATACTTTTCATGAGAAGGAACACAGCTATCTAAATAAATTATTCTGTTAATAAGATAATGGGCATGAAAATGCTGTGAGAACTGCAAAGTCTCTTAAAGGTTAAGAATTAATTATTACAAGGAAATTCTACAGTGTGGGAGGAACACCAGAAAAAGGAAAGTGGAAAGGATATTGATCATGAAATTAAAAGACTCGTATCTCAGAAGCCTATCAGTGTAATGATTATGAATTTATAAAACTTAAGTATTCAAGGCCTGGAAGGAAGAAATATGGTGAAACAGGGAAAAATATTAATTTGTGGGGAGGTATGAAAATGAGGATAAATCTTTCTTTCCTTGATTCTGATTTCAATGAGATCATTCGTACAAATCTTAAAACCAAAGCACAGACTGTACGAATCCATGTTGAACACTGGACTTTCAGGACTACTGTACAGCTAACCACAGCCCTGCAAGGCCAGGCTCAGCATGTCACAGTTTTGCCACCGAACAGGAGTCTTCGGAAGGATCGCAAACACTACATGGAAAATGACTGTATTCTTTCGGCAAGGCCCCCTCTTTTAGACATCACCCTAACAAAAAGAATTATGGGTTGGAAGAGGAGAAAGGATGCAAAGTTTGTGCCTTGACCTAAAAAAGGTCATAAGCACCTCTAATGATTCTTGGAAACATTAGCTGCAGTGGATCTCAAATTCTACTGTGCAAAAGAATGACCTGGT